CTTAGAGTATTTTTATGAGATTTCTATTCTTACCCATTTGCATTCCATTTGAAAAAGGGTGTGAATTGAATTTGGGACATTGTATAACATGAACAATGAAATAGCGTTAATTTTTTAATGAAGCTAGAGATTGGCCGTTGCTATGTTTTGAATGATCTTGTTGTATGTGTCTAAGTATGCATTGTTAACTTTGAAAGAGAGTAAAATGTTTAATTGGTGATTGCACAAAAAATCAAAACGACATTTACTATCCTTGTTAGAAATGATGTGGCAAAAAGGCTGACAGTGATGTCACTATTGCTCCTTGTCAATGATACCATACAGTTGGTTAGACATTTGGATTTTTCTAACAGCTTAATACTGGTTCTTTTTTTTCAGTCATAAGAATGTCTATGCCTGCTAATTAATCTCATGAATTTTCATCTTTTGTGAAAATTGAAACTTTAAAAGTTTTTTGGTTGGCAGGAGATTTAAAGATAAGAAAGAAGCTGTGGAGCCTGAAGCAGATCCAGAAAGGGACCAACGAACTGTTTTTGTGTACCAGGTTGATGGTTTGCACTGCTGTTTTTTTCTCCATTTTTAAATGATTATTAGTCATAGAATCATAGATTATTTGTGGTTCCATTGTTTTCTGACATTGGTGTTGCTCTGTTGTTATGGATTTTTTGTTTTATGACAGATGCCTTTAAAAGTGACAGAGAGAGATGTTTATGAATTCTTCTCAAAAGCGGGCAAGGTAAGTGGCCTTTGGTTTGTTTTTTATATTTATAACACAAAAATAGTTGTATGTTTCTGGATTTTATAAATTTTGTATCAAAGCTCATTGTGGTCTTTCCAGGTTTTTTTATGAACTTCTCTTTTTATTTCAACCTGTGCGTGTGAGAATTATTATGATTTGTTGCATGAGAAACTGCTGAGGACATGAATGTATGTTACTGAAATACCGTTACTTTATTCTTCCTCAGTTACAAGTAGTGTAATGACTTTCTTGTCTCATTTTAGATATGCGATATTAGTTAAAATGTTCAAATGCATTGAGCAATTTAGCTTGGTATTAAGAAACAGTGTCATCCCATATGCTGCTGTTTTTTTTGGAAATTCAAACGTGATGCTCTAGAATCATCTTAATGGCAGATCTGCAAGTGATATATAATTCAAAATGGATGCAGCATTTCCTACTCAACTTCTTCCTTATTCATTCCATCAATGTCTTCCTCAGTAATTGGACCCTTGATATTTTAGTTACCACTAGTTTATATGCCTGCACTCCACTATGTTTCAGATCTTTTTTTTTTAACGTAACAAAAAATACATCCAGGTTGTAGAGAACTTTTTGATATTGCCATTAAACACGACCCAGCAGGTGAACTTTAAAACCTCTCGATTCTAATCTTTGCCAAACCCGAGTTTAAAATTAAATCGTGTGAGTTGCTCCAATGCGATAGAATCAACTTGGTTGGTCCAAAGCTAACCTAACTGGCCGGTAAAAAAAGTCTTGAGGATGAAATTGTCAGGAAAAAAAACCTCCTGGCAGCTTCTTGCCTAGCTTGGGTTTAAAATTAAAATGTGTGGGATTTGCTTAACATGACTCAGTCGACTTGCTATGTCCAAAAGCAATCCGGTTCACCTTGGGCGACCATTGAAAGAAGTTTGAGGACAAAATATAGAAAAAAAAATGATGAAATTGACAAAAAAAAAAAAAACCCTTTTGACTCCATTCCTTGTCTAGCTTGAATTTAAAATTAAATTGTGTAAGAGTTGTCCTAATGTGATCTAGTTGATTTGACTGGTTTAAAAACAACCTGGATGATTGTTAAAAACAGTATGAGGATGAAATTGAGAAAAAAAAGTTGAAATTGAAATAAAAAAGGGATGGAAAAATGGGGTGTCTGAATTGAAAAACAAGAGCTTCTTTGTTGATATGAACAATGAAGCTCCATAAAGAATCTCTCTTTTTTTATTATAAAAGGTAATGCTTTGTCCATCAAACACAACACCAACACTGTGTTTACCTTGTGGGGTACAAAAGTAGCGTAGACAAGATTGTTAATCCTTGTAACGCAATGCATCTTGATAGGTGTTTTTTTTTTTTTAATTATAGTTTGAAGTGTCTGAAATATTTTTGCCTACTGCAAATTCATTCTGTTTTACAATTTGATTTGAAATTAATTTTCCTTGATTTTTCAGGTGAGGGATGTTCGACTGATAATGGATAGAAATTCAAGGCGGTCAAAAGGAGTTGGGTATGTGCCTTTTTGTATAAACAACAAGATACTTATGCACTTGTATTCTTCTAAAGTAACTCTTAGCATATTGATTCCAAGAATCAACTTTAACTATATTCTTAAATGCACTAGCAATGCGATAATGATGAGGGATGATGGGAATACATTGCACTCATGTTTAATCAATTCTTGCAGCGCACTCAAGGTAGATGACATAAACCTAATTTTGTTTTAGTTTTCTGATTTTCTTTTGCTAAGTGTTCTGTAAGTAAAGAGACTTGATTATGAGGCATGGATAATTAGTTGTAGTGTTCAATATTGGTGCTTCCATTCTGTTCTAGTGTTGATCCTTTACGTCAGCATGGTTTGGTGTTGGCAGCCATTTTGCTTAAGAACTTATGGTAACCAGAATCTGGTTTTCTAAAACCATCTAAATTTTTTATCAATTGAGCCTTAAATTGGTTTGAGCATTGAGTGAAGTCCATTTGTTTGTGATTTTTGGGCTTTTCTACACACAACACGTCAAAATGGAGACTGATGCTAACCTTTTTAATTGCATTTATATTTGTTCAATTTGTTCTGGTTTCCTATTATTATTCCGATAAGCTAATATATTCTATGACATGAGACATCTGATTCATGGAAAGAAATTCAGCTTAAGCTAACATATTCTTTTCTACTCATGTTTAATCCCCTTGTTTTTTTTTTTTTTTATTATTTTGAATTTCATCTTTTTTCTCACAATTTCATCCTCAAACAGTCACCCGAGTTGACTGACCAAGTCAACTGAATCACATTGGGGCAACTCTTACACGATTTATTTTTAAACCTGGGTTAAGCAAGAAGTCAGTTCAAGAAGTTTTTTCTATCAATGCCTTTTTGTTTTTCAATTCTTCAGATGTTTTTTACTGGTTTGCTTGGTTGTCTTTAGATTTATGAAATCGATCAGGTTAGGGCAACTCCCACACGATTTAATTTTAAACTTGGGTTAGGCAAGAAGTTAGGTCAATAGTCTTTTAATGTTAATTTTATACCTTTTTTTTTTCAATTTCATTCTTAGACTTTTTACCAGTCGGTTAGGATGCTTTTGAATTGGTCAAGTTGATCGGGTAACATCAATGCAACTCATTCAACTTTAAACTTGGGTTATGTAAGGAGTTGGATCGGGAGATTTTAAGATTGACATGCTCAACTAGGTTTAATAAAAATGCCAAATAATTTTTTACAACCTGAATAGTTTTTGTTACATTAAATTTTTTTTGATCAAACCCCACAACGTAACACGGGCATGTAAGCTACTTTTTGCCCTACATCTCTTTGCTATATGCTTTGGAATTTTGATTTCTGTCTCTTATTTTCTGACAAGTTAATTTACTGCACTGGTGTAATTGCAGGTATGTTGAATTCTATGATGCAATGTCTGTGCCTATGGCAATAGCTCTTTCAGGTCAACTCCTTTTTGGGCAACCTGTAATGGTCAAGCCTTCTGAGGCTGAAAAGAATCTGGTTCAGTCTAGTGCTTCTAGTGGGGGCACAAGTGGTGTTGCTGGACCATTTGGACCTGTTGACAGAAAACTATATGTTGGAAATTTGCATTTTAATATGACCGAAATGCAGCTTAGACAGGTAATAAGATTGGAGAGTTCATTTGGTTTATCATTCACTGAGAGAGACTAGCTTACCTTTTGTTTTTGTAACTTTCAATTTTCTTTCTTAATGAGGATAAGCTGCAAGTAACAGAAGAATTATGTAGACTAGTTCACCTGTGCTAAATTGGCAAAGAACTTTAGGATGCTTGTAGAAGATCTGTATGTATCAGTGTCAGAAGCCTTTGGTCAACAATTCCTTATTGCATAGACTTGGACATTACAGATTCATGAACTGTGGGAGGACATTTCAGCCTTGATATTTGGTGTTGCTGATGGTAGTGTTACTTGCTATCCTCCCATGGGTGTTGAATCAACAGTCAATAGCTCCAGTAGCTTTTATGGTTTTTTTCGTGTGTGTAAATTTTGATGTGTAAAGGTCTGTGTGATACCTTATTAGCTTTGAAGAGACAGATAGAAGTTTTTAATAATATTTGGATGAGCAAGTTCGCTTCACTAATACTTCCAAATACTAAAACTTTCATCCTGTTTCTCTTACATAATGTCTTGTCTTTCTTCTCTGTACTACTCTCAGCTTTTTGAACCATTCGGTACTGTGGAGCTTGTACAACTGCCTCTTGACCTTGAGACAGGACAATGCAAAGGTTTCGGATTTGTTCAAGTCAGTGATAGCTTCTTGTTAATTGCAAAATTTTTCTGTACTATTTAATCTTCTGAATTTGTTGATTGATTAATTCACCCACTCTTCTACAGTTCACTCAACTTGAAAATGCAAAGGCTGCACAAAGTGCTTTGAATGGAAAATTGGAGATTGCTGGTCGAACAATTAAGGTATACCTAATATACCAGGTTGCTCTTCATATGTTGTACATGCAAAAGTGCATGCTGTTACCAGGAAACTATTTGTCTTTGCTGATTTAGCTGTAAATGACAATTGATAATGCTAATCTTATTCCTTAGGAAAGGTCTGTGATGAATTGTTTGTGTACATATAGGTTTCATCTGTTACAGAACATGGTGGGCAGCAAGACACTGGAGCAAAATCTGCAGACTTTGATGATGACGATGGTGGTGGATTGGTGAGTTAAATGTTGCCATTCATTATATGAGTGAACTTGCATGATCAGTGGCTGAGCCACGTTATTCATTCATTCATTTATTATTATTACTATTTTTTTTTGGGGGGGTCATAATCCACCATAATTTGTCAAGAATGACAATGTACATTAATTTTTATGAATCCAAAACAATTTTTGTGTACTTCATACAATGGAAAAAAAATGTATTTGCCCAGAATAATTTTCTACAAGAAGGAAGGATTCAAATGAAAAAGAGGTGGGGGAAAAAGAGAAACAAGGTTCTGTGAATGAAGGGAATGGGAAAGAGACCAAAGGACCTGATGTGCTGTTTGTTTCACTAATGGAATAATTGAAGATTTATACTGATTTTCAATGTTAGAAATCATGGCTGGTTTGCTTTGTTAATTGGCTTCTGTTCCTGAGCTTTATGTTGATTTGCGATCTTGTTTTTTATGCGTTGGGCAATGTGGGGTTCTTTGTTAATTGGCCTCTGTTCCTGAGCTTTATGTTGATTGTCTAGGGGGAATTTTGTTGGCATGCCACTAGAGGTGACAATCTTATATTGAAGTAATTGACTATTTTTCTCTTGTGATACTCTTCGCTAATGTCTCGTTTAAATATTGACACTTTGAGACAAGAATTTACAAGTTTTGCCAATATGGATAGTGTCTCTCTCTCTCTATATATTTTGATAATTGTGTTAAAAAAATCAGCAACTTAATTAATTCAGATTTTTTGGATCAAAAGTAACCTCAAATTTTGTTGTCAATAAGTAAATTGATTTGTCATCCTTGTCCTGGAAGGACATGCAAATAGCTTTTGAGTTCCAATGAGTTTGGAATTCCCACATCAGTTAGGAATAAGAAGTATGAGGTGTTTATATATAAGATGACCCTTAATGAGTTATTATTAGAGCTGGTACGATGTATGGGATAGGGCAGTTGCTCTGTCTGTACAGTTAGTTACATACTAGCATTAATTTGGTCAATGTTGTGAGTGTTGGATGTTGAGATAGACTGTTAAACTTACCTTACTGATTTGGAATCCTGTTATCTTGTAAACATTGAGGTTAACAGTTCACATCTTACTGTTTTGTTACCGCTTAATGAATGGCTTTCATAGGGTTATGACCCTTGCAATAAAAAAATTAAATTGTTTTCCTTGAATATTTCACAACTTTATATCTTGGATTGTTAGGTTTTCTAAGATCCACATGTTCATTTTTTCAAAAGAAATTAACTTGTTGGTAACTTTGCTGCTAATATTTTCACATGAATGTTGGATTGAGGTTTTGCCCTTGTCATTAATGCATTTATGAGCCAGGGGTCATCTAATTACAAAATTTTTTTTGAACATGTAATGAGGTATAGATTTCTCATGAATACATTGATGTTTATTGATTCAACTTCAAGGTGGAAGTGTTGCTCTAGGGTAAAAGTATTTAAAATTGTAGATCGTGCTGACAACAGGCTGGCAACGTTTGACACTGCAACTTTGAATGTGGATGAGAGCATTTCATTATATTCACAAAGATTTGAGATAATTTGTATCCGAGTCTGCTTTTATCTCCCATAAAAAAAATGTCAAATGAGCTACCTAGAAAAGTTTATAACTTCTGAATTGACAATGGGAAACTCATTACAGCATCTTGAAACTGTAGTTTTTACTAAGATTTTGAGACACTAAGGGCCTGTTTGGGAGCGTAGTTGTGGTTGTTTTTCAAAGTGCTTTTCATGCTGAAATGCATCAAAATGATTTTTTTTATTTTTTAAAAATTATTTTTAAGATAAACGCATCAAAACAATCCAAAACATACAAAAAAATTATTTTTTAGCAAAAAAAAATTGAATTTTTTGGAACAACCCGTGTTTCCAAACACTCCCTAAGGTAAAGAACATGCTGCTGCCAATTTCAAAATTTGGCATATTGGGAAAATTGATTCTCCAGCAACAAAACTTGATGATTTATTTATTGATTAGTTGAGGTTAGAGTTCTTGATATTATTGTTTGAGGGTATGGGACCAACTTGCATCAGCAAGAGTGTCAATAGTTGCCCCGTTTCGTTTGCTTAAATTTTTAATTTCTCCAATTCATCTGATTTAATGATTTCACTTTTCCCATTCAGGCCTTGAATGCTCAATCAAGAGCATTGCTTATGCAGAAGCTCGATCGCACTGGTATTGCTACAAGGTTTGCTTATCTTACCTCGTGTTTTCTTTTCCCTATATAAATATCAATTTCTTGACCTCAAATCTAGCCCTGTTCCCAGTATTGCAGGCTCTCTTGGAGTACCTTTGCTAAATGGTTCAGCTTCAAATCAACAAGCCATTAGCTTGCCTATCATTGGGCAAACTGCTATTGGAGCGGCAGCACTTCCAGCACCAGTTTTATCTTCCCCTGCCTGTGAACCTATTGGGCAACCCAGCGAGTGTCTATTGTTAAAGAATATGTTTGATCCAGCCACTGAGGTGGTTTTTTTTTTTTTTTTTTTTTTTTTTTTTCTGGTTCTCCACTGGGAAGTACTGATTCTCTTGAAAATGTTGCAGACAGAACCAGATTTTGATTTGGACATTAAAGAGGATGTAGAAGAAGAATGTTCAAAGTATGGTCGGGTGGAACATATTTTTGTGGACAAGTAAGTATATAGCTCATGGAACTTTATCCATATAGGTTCTTATAAGTGCTCTTATGGAGAACAAATGGAAGATTAACAACATGGATGTTTTAGGAAAATTAAATATTTTATTTTATTGCTTTTGTTTTCTGCAAATATTGTTATCTTTGGTTATTGTTAGGAGACTAGAGTTAATTAGGAGTTTTATTTTGTTTAGAACCATGTTCTTTTCACTGATCTGTTTTATTGTTCTGTTAGGGTTTTGGCGCTTATGTAAGGATATTAATATACCTGTTGAATGATTATTGTCTTAGGCCTGATTGCACTTGATTTCCTGTCAAAATTCTGGTGACATGGAATTGTAATTGAGATGTTTTATATGCCCCCCCACCTGAATTCTAATTGCAGGGTGCTACAAATAGAGTGTTATGCTAATTCAAAGTCACAACCAAGTGAAGTTTCTGAACTTCACCTTATCTGAAGCTATTTTTAAGAATAAAGAATGAATGTGGCCTTTCAATGGTCTGATAGTGTTATGTTGTCACATATACCCAATTCATTAACCCTGTCAAAATGCCATCTTTGTGGGCATTCCTATTGTAATGCCATTTCAAAAGCTGATGCCACTTTTAAGAGCCATTACTTGGTGCAATGCTAAAACTTATAGGCTTGCAACTACAGGGGTGCTTCTTTGAGTTAGGATGCCATTTATTTTCTTTCTCAACTGTTTTATTTTCCCTGTAGGAAGAGTGCTGGTTGTGTTTATCTACGGTTTGACAGCATTGAAGCAGCTGCTGGAGCTCAGCGTGCAATGCATATGAGATGGTTTGCACGCAGGTTAATTTTAGCAGTTTTCATGGTAACAATTTTCAACTTTCCATGATTTTCTTGATTGAGTCTCCATGTTCTAGCAATTCTTTACTCAAGTTGAATGATTTTGAAAATGTGTGATACTCATCTGGGACTGAGATTTGAAAAGCCTATTTTGAATACTTCCAGGATCCTAGTCCCTAGTACTGCCACTGAGATTTTATCAATGGGGTCTGTAAGCTTCTACTTTTGGACTGGTTAACATGTCTTTCACCATGGCCGCTCAAATTTTGTTTTCAAAATGTTGTTGGTCTTAGCTTATGCATTTCCATACCAAGAGCAGATTTGCTGGGTATGCCCAAGATTGCTTTACAGGCTACCTTGCAAGAAAAATGGAATTCTAAACTTTAAGTCTTAAGGAGGTTCCTTTTCTTCTTCCAAGTGAGGAGTGGTTTGTTTCCTTAAACATACCTATATTGTTGGCTTCACTTGTCCTCTTGCCCCTATTATTTTTGGTTTGCAGCAGCATGTTTTTCCTCTTGTACTTGGAAGAAGTTTTGAATGCTTAACTGACACTTGTAACACAAAAGGGAGTTCAGTTTCTACTTCCGAGTAGAAAAGGGTTTTCTACCGTCTGGAACTATCCTAAGAAATTGCAGAAACCATCAAAGCAGCTGTGTTGTCTTTTCATCTGTCCTCGTGTTCATGCTGCTTTTAGTTTGCAGCAACATGTTATTCCATTTTCTGAAAGAATTTATACTTGTGTGCAGCCGACCCGTGAATATGAAGCAAGATTTCAAATTGGAGCTTGAATGATGGGTGGGCCGCGCAGGGAAGGAATCTCATGTAACAGTTTTCAGCATGGTAGTCTCAACATCCATCTTTCCTGGGATGATAATTTATGCATCCTCGTTTGTATACAAAGCTCACATGATAATCTTCAATGAGTTCCCCAGCTGACTGTTTTAGGTTTTGTTTCTTTAGTCCGTTGGTGCATTGTTGTGTCGGTATCTTAAGCTTATGACCCCCACGAAGTAGTATTAGCTTGATTTGGATACTTGTGTTCGTTGGATGAAATAAAATATACTCGTGTAGGTTGGGCAGGCTTGTTCCAGTTAAGTATCAGTGGGTTCCACCATCTTGTTTGTTCCATGATCTCAAGGTCAGGTAAATGTGAGATGTTTATTTATTTGTCATTAATTATGGAAATGTGAAGTGATTATTTTGTTGACATCTGCCTTGTTTGTTTGAAAAGCTTCTTGAATGGAGATGACATTAGAACATTTGTTGATGATGATAAACTGTTCTCTCTGCAAGTTATTTAGGGTGTATACTGTGTTTTTTAAAATTTTAGTATCTTTATTACTAAAAATTATTTTATTTATGATTTGGATTATTTTGGTGTAGATATTAAAAATAAATAAATATTATTTTAATATATTTCTAAGAAAAAATATATATTCAATGCCATAATTTCATGGAGAGTAGAACTTGGCATGGGTAAACATAATTAGCTGAAAACTGCATGCAAATCATGGGGAAATCTTTATTGTCGGTGATTTGTAACCTCCAGCGTGTACAGTAGGTGATGTTTCGTAATCTTGCCAAGAAATTTCGACAAGGTAAATCCTTTGCCGACTTTGGAATTCAGAAGTTGATAAAAGTAAATGGTTTAATCATTCGAATTTTCTGTATCAGAATGTAATAGAGAAAGTAGGAGGATGCGTGGGAATGACGATGTCCACTGAAAGACCTCAGGGTGAACTACCAAGTATTTGCAATTGGACAGGGTTGCGGTCACACAATTTTCATTACATGCAAAAAGCATTAATGCATTTAAGGTGCCCCCATATTTATTATTATTGTCTTTTGCTTGACAAGCAAGTCCTGACATTAAATTTTTTAAATCTCCTTTTATTCCTCTCTCATAAAATCGTCCAATTAAATCCGTAATAACAGCACATAATATAAAGCATGAATAAAACCTTGCAACTAGCTTTCATATTCTTTCCTTTATAGGAAAAAAAGAAACCAAATCCAGGCCAAGATTAACATCATCAAAAAAGTTGAAAACTGAAACTCATACATTAAAATCTTTACATTCAAAAAAAAAAAATAGGGTGTTTTTGAAATTGTGGTAGTAA